GTACCAGTTTAAGTTTGTATATAAGGCTCGCAAAAAATGTGCTTAGCCGCCACACTGTGTGAGCGATGTGATTACTTCTGTTGATCTCTGCTTTGGCTTGTCACTGGCTTGTTTGTTTTAATATTTTAGGTAATAAGACGCAGTTTCCGAGAGATCTGCTGAAATGATGATAGCTAAGAACAAGAATTTCCGGGTTTAAATCCAGCAACAAATTTAGGGAAGAAGACAAAGGACTTTCTGAGCTACATTGACAATGCATTAGGATAACATTATTTATTTATTGTATGTCTATCAAAAATTTACCTAAAGATAATTGCAATGAAATCCTATATGCTTGGCAAGAAGAAAAAACAACAGGCAACATATTATTGAAAAAAAAAAAAGAAAGAAAAACAAGACAAAGAAAACAGAAGCAGACCATGATAATGATTGCGTGCAAGAATCTATGCGTGATATAGTACGTACGTCAAGTAATAAATATTTCATGCGCAGTGTGTGATAAAAACATTACCGAAGTAGGAGATAAAAGAAAATGAAAAGATCACTGCATGTACACCCGCATAGAGATGTATCTGTTCGCTTATAAGTATGGTTTTTCGTTTTCGTTCAATTACTACTACGTCAATTCGCATAATAAACAAATACATTTATTTGCTTACATAAATATGGGAAATTCTTTTCTAAATTGACTAAGAATTCATTTATATATATTATAGGCTTAGCCTAGAAATTTTATTGGGGAAGAGCTATATTCACCTTAGGGCGAATGTAACGTATATACCATTCTTTTAGATTACTCGCAAAACTTGCCGAACTAAAAGAGAGAGAGAGAGAGAGAGAGAGAGGGGGAGAAAGAGAAATACCGTAATGGAAGCATATTTGACCTCTCCTGGTGAGGTGTTAATGCTCTTTAGTGCGAGGGGGGAGAAAAATGTATTCTTTTTATATATGTAAGAGAAAAATTAAATATATTACTATCTAGGTACACTCTATAAATGCCTCAACTCTTTTGTTTGTTTCTTTTTTTTTCTACCTGCTTATATGCAGATCGAGCTAGATTAGGGTTTCAAATGCGATCTATGTAGTTGCAGGACAGGCTGATGGGAAAGAACAAAATTAATTGAAAAGACAATCGGCCCACGCTAAACAGATACTTACATATAGAATGATAAAATGAATATACCGTTTGAGGGTGGGTAGTGTAAAAAGTGGCCGTTTTAAGAAAGAATTTGCCATACTCGTATGTGCTCATACACAATATACATATCTCGGATTGGTACATAGTACACGCAAATTGCCTGATAAAACTTATTCCAAATCATTTTTATTGATATTTCCGCTTAACAAATAAAAGCGAGCATTTTCTTTTTTCAGTTTCGTATGTACATTTTGATTTTTTTTTTTTTTTTTTTTTTTTTTTTTTTACCCAAGAGGTATATAAGGTTTAATATTCTATCTGTAACTCCAATATAAAAAAGCAAATGCTCGAAACAGTACAATTGTAGGTAGTTGTATGTGTTACGACAATTTTAAGGGAATTTTTAAAAAGTTTTGAAAATTATATATCATTGCTGGAAGAAAATTATATTCCCAATTGTCCCAAAATATAAATTTACTCTTCCTAATGGTTATGGGAAATGTATTGACCTAGCGTGTTTCAAAGTTTCCCTTATTCGCTGTGCACGCAAAAGTTGAAAAAATGTGGAATATTTCTCTAATTAACTAAGGTACGTCTGATGGGTCAAAAAGGTACATAGAAAAAACCTAAACATGCATAGAAAAACCTAAACCTAAACGTATATATTATAATAGCTTTCGGAGAAGCGGAACAGTTCCCTATATTTACGCAGAAAGCGAATATCAATTTAAAATAAATAACACGTTTTTCGGACTGCAAGACGCACTGGATATGGTAAGATGCACGTCAAATTTATAAGCTGATATTTAAAACAGTACATTTTTATCTTACTTTCGGATCAAAATTTTTACTTATTATTAACATCACTAGCAACAGTCGTTTCATCTCCATTCTCCTTACTATCGCCCATCTAGTCAATGCCATTATTCGTAGTACTTTCATCTGAACTATTGCTGCCATATCTTACGTATCTCAAATTTAGAGATGATTTTTAAAAAAATATCTTTCAGTGTTACCTACGGACCATAAGACGCACCCAAAATTTGAGTCCATTTTTCTATATAAAAAGATGCATATTATAGTCCGAAATAACGGCATTTATTGATTATAAAAATACGATGAAGCAGATCTTGTATTCTTTCCTTTCCTACTTTTTTTTATTTTTATCACATTTATGGATTCTAAGCCTTGCTTATAAATGATTCCGATTGAATGAAAATTTTGGCATTTGACGTTCATACAATGGCAACTCGAGCAGGATCCTCTTACATCGATAATTTTTCTTGCTTTCTCGTATTTATCACGCAATTTTCATTAGATCTTTGTTGTCACGATATCCCAAACCTAATACTTCACATATCAATAAAGAAAATCTGGAGTGCTTTGACACATTCTTCTTAAGGAACAATCGTTCAAAGTTCTTCTCAAGTGTAATTTATTAGAATTTCTGTTTACATTTTCATATCACGTTCAACACTTATTCTATAAGAATACCCGGTCTTTTCAAGTCGCTGATATCGTGAAAAGTAGCCCTGTCCGAATTCAATTAGATTTATAATTTTATTATAGACACCTATAGGTCTAACTAGAATTGTCTATATTTTCTATAGACATAATAGTCTTCGTACTTTGCTACGAAAACTCTTTTCTCAAATAAAGCTCGTTTTTATTATCCACCAAAGACCTTTACAAGCCGTAAAATGAGGTACAGCTTTTGGCCTGTTGACTTCACCGGTCCTCACTTCTTTAAAGATAACTAAAGAGATATCATTAAAGTGAATGGAGAGCATTATAGATCGATGTTAACAGATTTTTTATGACTTGTTCAACTGGTTTCAACAAGACAGGCATCCGAAGTAATTCGAGGGCACAAAATGTAGTATTTTCTGGCGAGTATAATAGCAAAAATTCGTAAGTATTATCGTAAATAATTTACAGGTTATAGTGAAGGCCGCCGATGCAGAAATTTGCTTCACACTTGGCCATATAAAGACTCGAAGTTAAAATAGACGCGGTCGGTTTACTGATACGCCTGCAATTAACAAAACCACTTTTGGACTTATTGAGATCGTTCACATTCAAGGCGAGCGTAGCCTCCCTTTTTACCAAAACTAATAATTTAAAGATTAAAAAAGAGAGAGAGAACGAGAGAGAAAGAGAGAGAGAGAGAAACGCTATATAAAGTTACTAAATAAATGAGAAAGACGTTTAACTAGTCAGTTCTAGTTCTTTCTATTAGACGAGGTTCAACTGTGAATTGCCTAAAACAGAAAGAAAGATCTCATAATTATTATTATTTGTTGTTATTTTGTAAACGATGAAAATACAATTACTAACAGGTACAGACATGTGAATGCAGATAACATAAATTTTCATGATCATTAACGTAGCAATTTTCCATGAATTTCTGGTATTTTAAAAAGAGAGCGGGAGAGAGATACAATTGCAAAGAAAATTGTGGAAATTTCAAGAGCATAAGCGATCGTGAGCATATAAAATTTATTTTTACTACCGATCAGTATATATTTCCAATACATTGTCATAATACTCGGCGTTGTCGTTCGGCGTAGATGATAACACAAAGCATACGGTAAACAGCATAGTATACCACGAAGTATATATCTGTGTATATAGACATATGGTTTAAAACAGCAAATGTGCGGATGCAAGTGCACCTTTCTACGCATTGTTATTTTCTTACTGTTTTTGTTTGCGTAAGTGTGTGTGTGTGCGTGTGTGTTTATGACTTAAAGCCTACTTTCTTTCGTTTTGATATATGAAATCTTTTTACTTCTTTTTTTTTTTTTTTTTTGATTTGTCAGCCGGTTAATGAGTTTCGCAAGTTGCCGGAATAAATTTATTGGCTCTAAGCAACATATCAAGCACTATATGTGAAATTAATATAAAAAAAAATCAGTGCCATGCTAATGAACTATTCGAACAAAGAAGTTGGTTAAAGAAAGAGATGAATCTGTCTCTTAACATCAATATCAATACCAATCAATAACAACCGCAAGCAATAACAATAAAACAAAAATGAAAAAAATGCAAATAAAATGCTTTAACAAATACAATTATGGAGGAAATAAAAGGCGCTTCTCGATATGAATACACATCTATGAGCGATGGCCTTTCAGAAATGCCGTACAAATATTTGTATGCATGTAAATGGCTATTATCAACACGTAAACCAATAAAGGAACTACTTACTGACATGATGAAATCTCTTTGTGTGCAAGTGCCACTAAAAGAGATTTAAAGCGAAATAAAAAAAAAATTTACAAAAAAAAAAGAAAAGATAGTAGTAATAATGCAATTTATACGGTAAATAATAAAATCTATGCCAAATAAATGCAATTTTATCGTAAAAACGATAATAGTTTACTCGCATATGAAAGATTACATATAGTGTGTGTGATATACGAGATATGTATAAGGGATATAGCATAAACTGTTGATTTGAGAGAACAAGAGAGAAGTGATCACTCGTACTTGTTTGACTTTCACCTAATTTCTCTCTCCTACTCTCTCTCACTCTCTCTCTCTCTCGTCACTAGCTAATTTCTGCATGCACACTGTTTAAAAGAGAAATTTTGTACCATCAGTTGTCTCGAATTCGTTTAAGCGTACGGTAGTTTGATTGGAAAAATGCTTTAAGAAACTATACAAAAAAAAAAATTAGTTAATTGCATGGAAAGTGAAGAAAAGGCAGAGAAAAAAAAAATAGGTCTAATTTATTTGATGAGATAATGAGAGTTGTGTATAAGCAATTAATATACATGTGATATATCTATATATATATATATATATATATGTGTATGTGTAATAAAAAATGAATTGAAATTTCTTGTGCTTCTCCCAAAGACGTAAATAATTGAATTGAATACAAAAAAAAATAAAAGGAAAGAAATTTGCATAAATTAAAAATTAAGAGCAAAGCAACATATTCTATAGTTTAATTATTAAACTGCAATATATTTGGAATTGTTCGTCGTTTGTGGATTATAAATTTTGATTTGTATGCCTCAAGGTGTGTATATGCGTGCGTCTTATATCCATCTATGATAACAATAATAATAATAATAATAATAATAATAGCAACAACAATCATATAATAAATTTGATTATGCATAACGATGCGAATGTACGATTATTATTGTATTTATATTATTATTATTTGCTATTATTATCATTTATTATTTATTTCTTATACTATCGTATCTATGTAATCTGTGTCAATGCATATATATATATACATACGTATATATATGTTTACATAGGCATTTAATTACATGCAGCTTTATACGTACGAATATCCATAAGTTTTCTATGAATTGTTAACTGGTTTATAAATTTTTCTTTAATACTTTAATAACATTTTGATTAGTTTTAGACTGTAAAACTAAAACAAAATTTTATGCATATGTTTGTGTTTCATTAATTATATAATGAGAGTGTCTTTCTGTCTGTTTCTTATTTTTTTTTTTTTGGTACATTTGTAACAGTACGATTAACTATAAGCATTTTCGTAATATCTATCCATGTATGACATGCCATGACTTTCAAATGGTTAAAATGTTGACTCTATCTCTAAAAGACCAAGTCTCTTTTATGTAATAGTGGGCTATTTACTTTATGATGTTTCATAAATGACATCTTTAAAGCATGCAAAGTAAATAATTTTTGACGATCGCAGTGAATATTTTTATTTGGGGGTTTACTTTTCAATTTGCAAACTGAGTTGCTGGTGTTATGTACTATACATTCGGATTACAATTAAATTTTTTCGATTTTTGATTACAACTACAACTAATAATATAAACAAAATAAAGTTTTTATTTTTTTATTTTTTAATTACAATTACTGTCCTTGTTATAATGTTGAAAAGTTTATAAAAAATAAAACATTTTTTCTCAACTTGATAAGCAGGTTAAACATCTTTGAGTAGTGTTTGTTCGAAACTATTATTCTTTTTCATTAAGAAGATAAAATATCTTCGAAGAAAAGTTAGAGAGACAATTATGAAAGGTAATCTACATACAATACTATCATTAACACTACTTTTCTATTAATCCTCAAGTGTTGAGAAGCATTGAAAAATGCAAGATCAAAAGATTTTCGAGCATTCGCTTTAGCCATATAATTGCAACTGGACCCAGCGACCTTACAGAAGTCTTCTTCTACTCGAAGTATGACATTTGTAATAATTCTATGGATATCCTGAAACCAGTTACGGAACGCAATATCCGTACAATGTAGTACTTGATTAAATCCGTTCCGCTTAATATTCAGTGTGACTTTCTCAAATAGAATCGTTAGCCTGTGTTGTTAGTGTTCAATTTTTTTTTTTTCTTTTTAATCCAAGAATTTATTTTATTAGTGTAAAAATTATAATAATAATATTATATATCTTTGAATAGTGTTTATTGGAAACTATTATCACTTTTCATTAATAAAATCATATATCTTGTCATAAAGCATCCCACGGAGGAATAAATTTTGTCAATAGCACTTTTCATGGCTCCACAGTATCATGTCGATCTTAGGTGATAGATGGACTGCCATATTCAAAGAATTTTTTTTTGGTTACAGCTTGCACAACTTGTCTTTCTTAGACAAGGTAAATGTCTATTTCATTTATTTAGCGCTCCTTGCTATGTAAAATCCTTCACATATTCCTAATGTTTTTCAAACCATTTATTTTGACTTGACTTGCCCTCGCATAGCGAAGCTGTTAAGAAGCTGGACAATTTAGTCAGCGTGACCTGGTTCAATTCTGAGATTTCGTCTCTCTCGCCCCACTTCTTTTTCACAAGCATCGTTGAGTGGTTGGTTGTTCATTAAGAATAAAAAAAGAAAAAAATGGCGTAATTTTATTTTTAAATACAGAAATGCTTTTTTTCTATTTTTATTCATGTTTCGTTGTATATTTTTAATTCGTTCTAAAGTGTAAAAGATGATGAGTCGCATTCACGAAAACCTTCATCATATCTAACATTATATAATAAGCAAGAAAAAAAACCCAACCTTTTCAAAGTAATATATAACAAGTAAGGAATTCACATTCGGCCCTGTCCGAAGCTTTAATACTTAGCATCTCTTAAAAAAGGCTAAAGAGAAAGGAGAAAATGAAGTTTCCATATTTTTGCTGACTTTTCTATTTGGAAATTTGTATCTTTTATATTGGGTATTGGCAAACGTGGTCTCAGTTTTTGACCGGTCTAAGTCGATTTCCAATTGCTTTACAAACTTGAAGCCGATATTTTCATTTTTGCGAACTAAAGAATGTTTACCATAGATTTTACAAGGTTAGGCAGGCAGACAGACAGATGGACAAATGAATGAACCAATATGCTGAAGCGCACTCCCACTAGTTAAGAATGTATATACTCTGTATGGTTGTTGAAGCTTGCTTTTGAACGTTATAAAACTTTTGACAAAAGAATGAAAACTTGATACACTGTGATGTTGGGAAGAAGCGTCCGATTTTCGTACAGACACCATAGCATCGAATATACCTTTAAATTTTTATTAATTTATCAGTTGTAGTTTATAAGTAATGAGCGAAGTACCAATGTTGTCCTTTTTGACAACAGAGATGTTTTCAGTCCACGTGGTATTGTGGGCGTGTTCTTCCACCGATTTACCCCATTTACAATGTTGGCATGCGTGCAAAAACAACCAATGTTTCTGCCAAACTTGAAACCGGTCGCTCCGTTTTTGGGGCCAGGAAAATGTTTAGAAAAGCCGGACAGACGGACATGCACGTGTACAGGACAAAAATGCATATATCTTGCGGAGTCTCCGAAGTTTCCTTCTGGACGCTGCAAAGGTTTTGCCAAATTGAGTATGTCCGTCATCCTTCAGTGGTTTGGTAAAGGGTTTTAACCCCTGTGAACGGTATTAAATTTGTTTAAAAGTCCTCAGGGGATGTTTTTTAAAAAGTTTCAGGATAATAACTATCATAGGTTGATCTTGGTTCTTTGTTTCTTGGCTGCAAACAGCGGGTTCTCCAATTTTCAGCTGATATTTTAAATCGTGCTATTGAAAATTTGCTAAATATGTTGAATTAATATTTTCTGGAAATTGTGGCCTTGAGGGGCCAAACAAAAATACCTACACGCGTTAGTGGTGAATGTTGAAAATTAGAAAACCTTGAAATCTAAGCATTAGATAATGTTCAACAAATCCTCAAAGTGTCGTATGTTTACTGTTTTTTTTTTTTCTGCGAAATAACTTGTTCGGTTTACGCTTCCATTTTTAATCTTTCGCTTTAAAGTTTGGATTGGAAAACTTGAGAGCTATTTTAACTACCAGAGGTTGGTTGAGTTTAGTATATTAAAGCGACCTTTGTACAATAAATTCAGTAATGATTATTGCTTTATTTATTATAGTTTTTTTTTTTTTTACCATCGAGGACGTTAGCCATGCCGTTCAACATATTAATCGTTCGCATGGAGGTTTCGCACAATCAACAATCAATGCTTAACTATTTGAAAATGAATTTATGTTTAAAATGAACTGCGAATAGTTCAAGGATGGGTGGAGATCAGTTCATTTGTGACCGCACACAGGTGCAAAACTTTTTCCTGTCAAAACGCAACATACTTACCGCACAAACTATCACACGGAGCCGCATTTTAAGTAGAGAAAATATCATTTTTGGCCATTCCGGGCATATGCACACGTAATAAAAAAAAAAAAAAAGCGGGCGAACAGGAAGAGTACGCTTTAAAGGCATATGTAAGCCGTGTTGCTTTCTTTAACCAAAAACTAAAATTAAAAGGTAGTTTCACTCAAAGTTGCTTTAATTAATTCAGTAAAAAAACTACTGCAGTCTAACAACTTCCAAAACTTTATTAAATAGATAGCAACAAAAATACATTTAAAATCAGGTCAGCAATGTATTTACTATAACTATATATATATATATTTATATGCGTATATATGTGTCCACGTATGCGTACAGAAATATATGCTCAGTTCGTTTACGTTAAGCCTCAAAGCAATGTGCACACGTTTCAACGAATGAATTCAGCCGTTCATTAATGTAGCGAGATAAAGGTAAACTATTATAAAACACAAGTTTTCTTAGTTACACTGAGGATGGTGCTTGCTTAGGATATTTATGAAACTGCATTAATTAGGTCTACAATAGAGTTTTAATTTTCCCTTTTCATGATTGCAAAGCGTTGAAATTAAAGTAAATCAAATCGGATGAGTAAACGTAGCATTAGAAATGTTATAGGTCATTAAAAAATGTAGTGCCTCTTCGATAATAAATGTTTTCTCGCTTGTGCTTTATAAGCTTTTTCAGTTTGGCTGAACATTCCCGATGTTTCAGATGACAGTCATCAAATGTTTATTACCCGTAATAGTGTTACTTTACTACGCTTCGTCGGAAGACTATTAGTGAAAAATGACACACAAACCAAAAACATAATATAAACATAAATTAGGAAGAGATAAAAACGCTTAGAAAGAAAAAATACTCTACACTACTTCGCTTAATACAGTTTTTTGTTTGCCGGTTCCTGGTCGAAAAGCTAAAGCGATTCGAACCGACAAAGTGTCAAATGTTATAAAAAGTTTCAGAGGAAAATGCAAGCCGGTTAGAAGAACGATTCGGAAAGTGATTCTGAATCGGTTGATGTAACAAAAGATGGGCTTATCTCAAGATGCTCCGAGTGTTGCCTGCTTGCGTAGTACTACAGGCAGTTATTATTGCATATACGCTCACTTTTTCTGTACAGCTGTACAGCTAAGCGAAGGAATCGGTTATGGTAGCGTACATTAGAACTTTTCCTGAAAAAAAAAAAAAAAAAATTGAACTTTTAGGCACAAACTATGCCCCACAAATTTACGAAGGGCACTACATTGCATTGGCAGAATAAATTACTATAGCATCTTTTTGATATTTGATGATCACTTTTTCGTTTTCAATCTAATAAAGAAAATGTTGACGTTAACCATGGCAGTGGTTCGTGCCATACCAAATTCGCACGTTCGAGACACCTGCCACAACGTACG